TATGGTTCTACCTCTCCTAGCATGCCTTAGTTCATAGCCTCCATAGGCTTCTGACAGTCTTCCTGGGCAGCTCTGGACTGGATGGACCTTACAGCTGTTTCTCTTTGGTTTTCTTCATCATTGTTCCTTCTGATGCATTTTTAGAAAAGGAAGCAAGGAAGGAAAAAAGGAAATAAGGAAGAAGAAAAAGAAAGGAAGACAAGTATTTATTAAGTACCTACTATGTGTACCTGGCAACATGCAAAGCACTTTAACAATATTATCTTACTTGATTCTCACAACAACCCTGGGAGGTAGGTGCTATCATTATCCTCATTTCCCATGAGGACACTAAGGTAGCAGAGATTAAGTGACTTGCTCAGGGTCACACATCTGGGGACAGGTGTGAATTCAGGTCTTCTTGACTCTAGGTCCAGTGCCCTATCCACTGAACCACTTAGCTGTCTCTACTTGAATGTTTGTAGATTTTGGCTTGTCTATATCCTCTCATGGCACCAACTTAATCACTAAAGCAATAATAATAAAACTAGCTAGTACTGAACAGTAGCTTCTTTAGACCTTCTCTGCTAAGGTGCTTCTCCTCCTTTCTAACTTATAGATCACATTTGGCTTGGAACTGCAATACCCAGGCAGAGAATCCTATTCTCTAACATCACATCTTTGTACAGCTCCTTCTAAGAAAAGCCCAAGTGTTTTCCCTCCTCCTGGGTGAAGACCATAGCCACATCTTTGAATGTCTGACTCCCATCAGGCATCAGCTGCCAGAAGCATAGGAGCCATTCCAGCCCCACAAAGTTCACTCCTTTTGGGGAAGGCAGAGCCCTTTGTATCAATGCTCCCAACAGACCCTATGCATAGCTTAGGCCCTGTGGCAGTCAGAGCCTAATATTGGTGGAAGCCACAGTTGGAAGACATTGAAAGATACCAATGAATGTATTAATAGACTAAAGAGCAATAATTTTGAGGATTTTCTTAAAATTAGGTTCATTTTCTTGGCTTGATTATAGTCTCTTTAATGATCTAGTTGTACAGATGAGAATGCGTTCTGTTTTTTAGTATGTCTTACATTTCAGGCAACAAATGGTTATTTTACTGTATTTTTTAGGGCATTCTTTGGGAATCTAAGGTATTATATGTTATTTTGCCTGTGTCTTGACTAACACAATAAGGATATTGGTTATTCTAGTTTTGGAAATAAAAAACACAACTCAAACAAAAAGACATGTAGTCCAACTCAGCAAGGATAGTCAGCATTTTGCCGAAGACAATTAGCCATAGTCACCACAAAATACATAGCACTAACTGGTCAAGTCCCTGGCTAATGTTATATCATGTCCTGATTCCTGTCCAATGTCAGCTGATTTCTTGTTTTTCTCCATCTTAACTCCTTTTGCAATAGTATTCACTATCTTTAGCCTGTCTCTAAGATAATTATCTTTAATATAGCCCTGCAACTCATGGCGTGGCTCAGGAACTTCCCCCCTACAGCAGCACCTCCATCTACTGCTACCAGCCTATTCCTCATTACCCTCACAGTTTAATGCCTTGTACCTCCTTTTTTGGGGGGCTCTCAGAACTTGGATTTATTGGGGATTTCTTTGTCATACATCTTAGGAATTTTCTTCAGTTCTGTATATATGAAAGATCATACCATCAGAACTGAGGATTCCTTCTTCCCTAAATATGACTTATGCATTATTTGAATCTATCATTTCTGTTTTGAATTGAGGGGTCCTTTGGGTGTAAAATGCTTCAAATTAAAGGACTGGTTCTTCAACAAAGAAACATTCCTCAACAATGGTAATTTCTCTGAGCACTCAGCACATTAACCATCAGTTAATCTGGATTATTATTCCTCTATGGCAAATATTAACAGCTCCATTTTGTGGATGAGGAAACCTGACACTGTAATGAATGTCTCAAACTATTATTACATTCATGGTCTACTTATGATCAATGGATTGGAGGTTTAATGGGCACAGATTAAAAAAATATAAAATAAAACATTATTCTACATACTGCTCAGAATATTTAACCTGTTAGTCTAATGGACTCAAGCAAACCAAGTATTTACTACATGACAAGCTGATACTTTTACTTCACACTCATTTTATCTATTTTCCATTAAAAATAGCCTTGAAATAGATTTCAAACCTAACAAACTTAAAGGATCTGCCACACCTACAATATGCAAATCACAACCCCTTAGATGATTTACTGATTAAACGCAGTATGTGATCATAGAAAGAGGTCTGTATCTGGAGTTAAAGGAACCTACAGGGGCCACATCTTGGCTCTACCACTTATGGCCTATGTGATCCTGGGCAAGTCATTTTTATCTCACAGGAACTCAGTTTCTTCATCTGTATAATGATGGTGTTAGATAAAATTATTTGTAATGATCTTTCCAGGTCTAAATATTCGACTCTATGATCTTAGATGATCTACCACTAATAGTAATAAAACAAAAATACTTTAAACAATATCCTTTTAACTTTTCAAAGTGCTCTCCACACCTATTAGATAATTCAAACTCAAATCTGATTAACATCTCTAAATTTATTCTAGATCTAAAATTTGGTGTTCTTCACTGCTTGCTTTCCTCTAAAAACAATTGGTATTTTCTCCTACTTAAAAATTTAGCAAAACAACTGTCTTGCCACTGTTTTATAAGACATTTCTAAAACACTAGTCACTATGCAGTTGCAATTTTCTAGACATAGCTATTAGTGGTATCTTAACAAAGAATGACATATTACAGTACTAAAGTTTAGAAATAAGACAAAACATCAATTAGATATAAGAAAAATTGCAGCACACATTTCAACTACTTTCCCCCTCAAAAATAAATACATGGAAAAGTTTGATTTGAATAATAGTTACCAGCATCCTAGACGATATTGACAAAATTTAAGAGAGCTAGAAAACCAATTAGACAATAAGAAAAATTAATCTCAATTTTTAACAGATTTTTTTAAAAATAGGCCTAGTATTATATGTTTAAACTTAAGTGAGCAGAATTTTTATTTTATGCTTGATATAATGAATACAATTAAATAATTTAGGATTCATTTTGGTACTAATAAAATGCAACACACAGAGAACTTAAGTCATAAAACCTTTGTGTTCTTGGGCTCTCCCACCATTCTTTTTTAATCAATCAACAAGCAAGTATTTATTAGGGACCTACTATTTGCCAGGCAGAGTATACAGAGATTAAGAGGCAGTCCCTACCTTCAAAAAGTTTACATTCTGCTTTGTTTTTTTGGGGGGGGAGGGGAAGGGTGAGAGTCTACATATGTACAAATAAGCATATATAAAATAAATACAAAGTATGTTGCGGGGGTGGACACTAAAAACTGGGAGGGGAAAAGGAAATTAGGGATTCTAAAAGGCAGAAGAGAGGACAGCATGAGGGGACAGCCTTTGTAAAGGCACGGAAATGGGAAATGGAATGTTGTATCCGAAGAAAAGGTGAATTTGGCTGGAATAATAAACCCCCCAAATTCAAGTTTTCATCTGTAGGCAAAAATAAACAGCTTCTATACAAGCAAAATATTCAGGCTAGACTGAAGCAATCCTTTCTTCTATGCAAGTTTGTATAAGGATGACTCAGGTGTTTTTTCCATGACACTGCAATGGACAGTTGTCTTGCTAAACAAGAACTAAGTTCACCAATTTATGATTGAATGAAAAAATAGTACAGAAACTACAAAATTTAGGTCCAAGACAGTAAGAGTTAGGTAGCTATCATTTTAAAATTAAATTTTTAAAGGGTGAAAAAATAGCTGTTTCATGCCAAGATATTAGCCTCTGAAAACATGCAAATTTATCTGGTTTAAAAAAAAACAAACAAGAGAAAATATAAAAACATGGCACAGGAAGAGAAGAACTGGATTGGGGGCGGGGCTCTGTTCAAATGCCATCTCTATCACTAAGTGTTACCCTGGGCTGTGAGCTTCCTCATCTATAAAATTAGTAGAGTTAGATGGTATCTAAAAACCTTTCTACTTTAAATCAGTGATTTGAATTTAAAATGCAGTAATAAATTAACAGCAAGAGAATATATTTCCTGGAATATACACTCCTATAAATAAGACTACAATTACTGCAAGCCGTGACCGAGTACACCTGAATTTTAGGAAACACTAAATAAGCTTACCAATTAATAAATTCTCCAATAATTTATTTATACAATTTGTTTAAAAATTGAGGTCTCCTAGCACATTTTAAATTACTTTATTTACAGAAATTTACACACAATTTTTCAGGAACATATCTATTGTGAGAAAAAAAAAATGAGGTATATATCCACACAGTGAACAGCAGCTATCTTATAACAGAAAATCCATTATCTAAAACATTGTATATATTACTATTTGGCATAATATAACACTACTCAAATAGAATATATCATAAGATTAATTTCTCCAACTTTAAGATTAACATCTCACTTTTTTCACATTTGTTAATAGGTGCGTTTTTAGTAGTTGGAGAGAGCTATTGAGTGACTATGTCCTATTAATATTGTTTAGAATTTGACTAAAAGCTAGAACACTCCCCCATGGAGGTCAAAGAAAAACAATGGTCCACTGTGTACCAATATGTTCACAGCTGCAATTTTTATGGTAGCAGGTAACTGGAAACAAAGTACATACCCATCAATTGGGAAATGACTAAACAAAGGTGGTACATGAATGTAATGGAATATTATTATCTAGTAGGGAATTACAAAAGTGAACTCAAAGAAACACTGGAAGATCATATGAACTGATGCAGTAGGAATAAGCAGAACAAAAATAATTTAAAATGACAGATATACAATGTAAATGAAAAGGTCACTAAAAGGGAGATGAACTTTGAGTAGCTGAAAAACCAGTAAAAGTACTAGATAATATAATAAAATATATCTCCTTCCCCTCAGGAGAGGGATAGGGTTCTTCTAGGGCAGAATGTTGTACATATTATCAGGCAAGGTCACTGAATTGGTTGTTTTTGTCTTTTTTTTTTTTTTAATAATAAGCCAGGTTTCAATTCTGGGGGATTACGGATAGGGGGGAAAGAAATAGATTTCTAGAAATGACTGAAATACAAAGAAAAGACAACAACAAAACTTTTTAAAAGAATAGCTAACACATTTCAGTGCTTTATATTTCTAGCAGAGGCTTTTTAAAAATGCAAAATATGTCCTGCCTTTTATACACAAAGATTAAACTGATTCAAAATTAAAAGGACTTGTGCTTTGTTTTTTTCCAAGACCAGTTATTAGTGGTTCTAAGCTATCCACCCATTCTTTGACTTTGTGCCCTTATGACTTAATGCACAGGTATTTAAGGTGACCAACTCAAGTCCAGGTATGTTCTACTGCCATGCCAGGACAACACTGCCCTCAAGAACTAGCTGTGCTGAACCAAATGAGTTTTAGTTAGCCACAGACCTGTAATTTGGAAATTCTATTTTCCAACAATGTGAGCACAGCATACAATTCACTATCACATGGTACAAAATACGCTTTATAATACGGATTGACCATCTCTACAAAAATGACAAAGTTTAAAGTATTTAAAATTTTATCTAAAATGTAAAATTTCTAAGATTAAATATGTGGGTATTTATAGATTTAAAAGGAAAATATTTCATAAAAAATATTTCAGGAAGTAAAACGTAGGCACTTAAGGCTGGTTTTTGTTTGGTTTCTTTCTTTTCTGAAAAGCACAGATAACTTCAACATAACCAGAACTAAAGTCTTGCCTCTGAGTAGTTGAATCACAAAACCCTTAATGTCAGGGACAGAAAAGAGTTCTATGTTAAACACATTAGTAAGGTAAATGAGGAATCATTGCACATTTTTCCTCTCAACAATGGCAGTTTTTTCAACTTAAAATTTACAAATAATGACTGCTAAGAGGTTTGGGCTCTAATAACCTATTCTCAAATACTTTTCTCAAGTCATTGTTCAAAGTGACAGGATTTGCAGCAATTGAAGTGATACTACTAAGTTCTGTTAAGATAACAAGATTTCATTAAAACACCGCTCTTAAGGATTTTTTTAAAAACAAAGATTTTTTTGAAAGATCACTACATCTTTGGGTTACCATTTTACATTGGTTTTTGCCTGTAACTGCAAAAGATTACATTCCATCAATTTATTTTGATACTAAACATTAATTGGATGTATGAAAAATCAAGTATCACTGAAACCTCAGTAAATAAAATTTACATACCTTCATATGATTACTGAACAGGAATAATATGACAAGAGGGTTTTTCATACACAAGGGTGAAGAGTTACTCAGCACTCCCACTGGCGATTAATACTGACAATTCCCACTTTAACACTAATATTTTAAAGTCCTTAAAAATTACAATGTGCTTTCTAAGGCACAGAGTGTCTGCCTTTTTTATTATCTTGAAGCCTCAACTGACAAGTCACTTAAGTCTACTGATTACTATGTAAACAAAAATATAAGCACCTTAGCAACAAATTCAACAGAAAAAATAATCAAAAATATTTCTAACAGAAATAATTGAGTGTTAAATGTACAACAAAAGCACCCTGCACAACCTATTAATATTCAATGTAGATGGCTCATTTTCTGTGTACTTCTTTTGAAAATAAAGCTCATGTAATTAATATTCAAAATGATTATCCAACTTAAGTAAAACTACTCTAAGTAGAAAGTTAATGATTCCTTTTTTTTTTTTCTCCCCTAAGCAAGTCTTCGATTCATTTAAGAAAGAGAAGAAGTGGGGAGGGGTCAGAGTATTCTCCTACCTGGCAAAAAAAAAACAAATTTCCAGGTCACAAAAAAAGAACACATCTGCATTTAAAAGAAAAATGCAAACACAACTTAACCATGTTTTATTTGACTGCATCTTGTTTAGACAGCTTGCACATTTCAAACTCCATTATAATCCCTTTCTCCAAAGGATAAGGAACAGAAGAAAATAATGCAGCATTATCAAACAGCAGTTCAATAATTTTGAAATACACGTGATATTTTATAGATACCCAACTCATATCCAACTCCAATATAATTTATGTTTGTTTTTACAAACCTGACAGCCCTGTAACATTATAGCACTCAATTTTAGTGATGTCATGGTACAATGAAAAATAATTTTGATGCACAATGCCAATTAGATTATGTCTCCACTCCTGGAAAATGAGGAATTTCATGATTTGGGGGCACTGTAATACACATATCCAGACTTATACATATCAACCAATGCCAGCATACAGTGAGAGGTAAAGTTAAAACCCAAGTGAGAAAGACAAACTCTTGTGTATGTATACCTGTCAAGCAAATGGGGAGATGGTTGGGGAGAAAAAAAAGAGGGAAATCCTTAAAATCAAATCCAAAAAAGGAAATTAATAATTTGTTGTTGCTAGTTTTAACCTGAAATACTATTGCAATATTTTCTGAACTGGGGCCTTATGAGTATTCTGATCTTAATGCAAGGAGAATTACAATTAGATCACACATCAACCACGAGAGTACATACCCATTATAGCTTCTTTAATGCTAACATGTACAGTTTCTTTTAGCCTGTAACAAAACCATGTTAGGCTGTGGAAACTGTCAAATTGTCAATCTGTAATAGGCAGCATTGTTTTAAAAGAAAGTTGTACCCATTTTGCTCAGTTTTAACTATGTGATTTTCAATGTCATTTATAAATACAAACTCAAAGGTACTATAATTATGTTCAAATTAAAGTCCAACACCTCAAAATAATGGATACCTAACATTGTAAAATTAGGGGAAAACTCTAATTTATAAAAAAAAAATCCATTTTAAATGCTAAAATATTTGAACTGAATGGGGTTTTGACAGTGGGTTGTTACAGTTCAATAATTTCAATGCGCAAATTAATCTGTGTGTAGTTAAAAAACATAACAAGTATGTATGGAATATGTTGAGTAATTGTGTAACCATGTGACTTTTGAACTCAGTCATGTAGTTAAGGCTTTGTCTACATAATGCCAAAACAACCAACTGATTCAGTCAGTTCAGTGAAACTAGTCAATCTGAAAGAAAAAAGGGCTATATCCATTATTTCACTGGTCTGACAAGTTAAAATTATAGTCTGATTTGTGTATACAAACATCTTGCCTTCTTTACAACTGCGCATGACAGTGGTCTAATCACACTGAGTATTCATTAGCTTATAACAGCATTCACCTCTGAAGCATCAATTAAAATAAACTAGTGAACTAATGTTTAAGGACTTATGTGCAATCAGTCTGCTGTATCAGTTCAATTTCCCTTCATAGTTAAAACATACAAAGTACCACTATGATCGGTACTATTCTTATCATTAAATGCCAGGGCCTAAATGAAAACTGACTGCTTATCTTTAAAAAATGGTCTATTCTAAAGGCTGTCATTCTCACAGTGCTCCGTGGGTTCATCTGCACCAATCCTATTTTTTTGTTGTACTTACTGTTCTATGAAGCCTTTAAAAGTGGCACCAGACTAATAGGATTGGGCACTTTTAATAATAAAATTTCTTTAAAACTAAGACAAATGATCCCACCAGCAGAATTAAAAAAATTTTTTCACCTTACAAACTGAAAATTTTATTTGAAAAGTGCTTGTTCACTTCAAATACATTCTACTGAGCAAAGAGTAACTTTCCTTTAAAAAAATTTTTTTCCTGAAAGTGGAACTTTTTCAAATGTTAATGGAGGTAGGGTTTTTTTTTTTAATGTACAGTAATTATAGCGATTAAAAAAAAATAAAAGTAAAACCAAAACCTAACAGTATAGGTATAGTAAGGCAAATCTGAATTCTGAAAAAGTATGTTTTCTATAGAACATTCTTCATAGTGACTGCATCCCTTTCTATGGATACTTAGGTTTTCCAGTTATAGGAATAAACCAATATTGGTTTATTGCTAAAATTGAAAAACAATCAATTTATTTTAACAAGTTGTTATATCATGCCAATTAACAAGTTAGCAAAACACGATGTGGCCAATGATGATTGCTGGATCACATGGTGATCAATCACTGTGATTCGTGTTTTTTCTTTTCTTTTTTTTTTTTTTGGACAAAACCCATGTAACTCATTCAAAAAAAAAGATGAATTTTACTCTTTTCCCTTTTTGTTCTAGGAGGGAAAAAAGATAGATCCTCCCCCAGAACTTGCTCACATAGTTTAGAGGGAAAAAAAGCAGCTGAAATAGATAAAATACACCTTGAAATTTATTTCCAAGACCAAGAACTGAAAATTAAAGCATTTTAGAACACCAAAGCAATCTGAATCCAAATCAAATGAAAAAAGTTCCAACTGCTTTATAGAAGCTGTTTTTCACAGCTCATAGCAATAATTTTGATTAAATAAAATCATACCAATTTACATTAATTTTCTATTCCTTTCTAAAAATCCCTATCAAAAAGAAAAAGTGCATCCAAACCAGCAATTTACTGGAGCCTTCAAGTTCCCAACCCCTTTACCACATCCCCGCTTTTAGCAACTACTCAAGAAATTTCCAAACAGCTTTCTATTTTTTTGTTGTATAAGAATAGCTCTGTCTCTTGCCTGGGAAAAGTATCCAAATTATAAAATCTGAAATAATTTATTATCAAATTCAGAATTTAAATAAAAGCAGTTTTCTTGCAAAGACATTTTAAAAGGAAATAAAAAGAAAGCATGCACTAAAAAATTAGAGATGAAGACAAATATACTTATTTATACAGGCACTGGGAGACGCAATTTAATTGTTACTGTTACTCATTGTAACACACACCCCACCCTACAATACACTTTTTTCATTCACTAATCACTGAGGTACCAATATTCAAAAATGGAAAATTCAATATTGAAAAATAAAACCTAAAATTGAAGCTTTTCCTCCCCCCAGAAAACTATGGCAAGTTTTGTATGAAATGTTAGTATACTTAAGAGAATTTTACAATCTAAATTGGCTTTTTTCAGGAACAAAAATTATGTTCCACATACAGGTTCTGTGATAAAATGTTCACTGTGTATATAACGTTGTCAGTAGACTTGCAAATGAACAAACAAATCTTGGCTAGCAACTGGCACATCTTGCTGGTACCAAAAGAACTCTTGAAGTTTGAAACAATCTTTTAATTCAGAACAAATGTGCCATGCCATAGTGCAACAAATATGTGCGACACTCAATGAGACACTGACAGGTAAGAGCTGCATGGAAATTATGAAATCCACCTGCAAAGCAATTCTGTACAAATTGCATTGCATGCAAAGGCCGACTGTGCGCTGTTGGAAGTTGTTCCTTCATGTGAGAGTTTCTTTTAACGCAGCCATAGTTTAAGACGCAGTGCATCAACTCCATTTAAATAGTATCTGAACAGCCTTTTATCTCGCACAAAACCAAGATTTTCATAAAGTTTCAAAGCAGATTTATTTGTTATTTCGGTTTCCAAGACAACCTTCAAAGAAATGAGAAAAGGCTTTATTAGTTGTTTCAAAAAGTAACATGTGAAAACTTAATTGTCTGACTTGAACAAAATCTGACTGCATTGCACAAAACAGTTATTCAATATTAGTGATCTGAATGCCTATTATAGCAAGTCAATGCAGTTTACACATTTTTCTTCCATTAAGAACTTTCAGAAAGCAAAACAGTTTAGGAAAAAGGAGAAAGAAGATGTAAGGAGTTATCCTTAATTCTATACTTTAATTAATTTTCCTTATTTCCTCTAACAAAATATAATTAAAGATTAACAGATTTGCCTAGAAAATAAACATACCAAAATTTAACAGAAAGGTAGCACAAGATTTCTATCTTGGCCACCTAAATGATCCATTATAGTTTTCTGCTTTTCCTTTTATGACTCTTATCTTACTATAAAAGGTGAATTCAAAAGTAATGCTTCAATTCAATTTCTTTAGTCAGTGAAAAGGAACTAACTAAAAACTTCAAAATGAAGCATATAAAATTCTCTCTAATATACTTAACAAAACATTGATATATGACCAGTAGAAGCCCAGCAGCAGTCATTGAAGAACAATCCCTTAAGAGAATATTCATACATATTAAATAGTATCCAGGCTAGCATCTATTTATTTGGGGGGGAATAAACAGCACCTATAATGTTAACTTACTAAAATTAACCACCAAATCTGAAGCAAAATGTTGGCTAAATTACATCCCAATATATGAAGGTGAGACCCCTTTTTCGAAGAGAACCTAAGAGAACTTTTTGCTTTACTGGGTCAATGGTTTTATACTTTTCACCATCATCAGTATATGCAGAGTAGAAAAAGCTGATTTATATAACTTAATAATGACTTCTGATGTCATGATTACTAATCAATCAGAAATAAGAAAGGATTTGTCAGGCTGGCATAGGGAAAAGCTTTATAGGTTTTAACAATTTCCTTTATTGACCACTAGTTTGTTCATTTCCAAGTCCTGAAGTAGTCAAAACAATGTGAAAGCCACTACCTGTTTATGCTCCTACTAGGTTTAATTATTACTTTAGGTAATAATTTTATTTTTGTACTTGTGAAAAGGAGATTGGTTTATAAAAGAGCTAGTATGGCAAAATCAAAAGTTATGAAGAGAGAAATAGGAAACCATGCTTCTAGTTTATCATTATCATTAATCAGTTATGTAATTTGGGGCGGATTCAATGACCTCTGCTATAGAGCTTAGTTTCCTATCCATAAGAGGAGAGGGGTTGGATTAGAAGGTATCTAAACTTTCCAGTTTAAAAGTCTCACCATGGAAAATATGAAAAGTTAAAAGCACATGAACATCAATTAATTACTCCCATTCTTGAGTAAAGCCCATGTTATTAAGATTTCAGTACTGGGCACAGAATTGCATTGCACAAGTAATTAATCAATGCCTATTGATAAGTCATGTTCTTAAGACTATGATTTTTAAAATTTCAGGCACTTTACATCTGTTAACATTAAAAGCAATGTAAAATGTGGATTTGATTTTCAATTCCAGTACTACCTCTGTGACCTTGGAAATCACTGTCACCCTCTCCCTGGCCCTACCTCTAAGCCTCAATTTCCTTAGCTATAAAATGGATGGGTTGAACTTGAAGGCCTACAAAGTCCCTTCCAGCTCTTAATGAAAATATATGATCCCCAGTCCTTTTATTCAATGTCAAAACCAAAGAAAAAATATCCTACAAGGAATTCATGTTTATTTTTAAAATACTGATTTAAGAATTTTCTTGGGAAAAAACCTATCAAACCTCAAGAAGCAGCAGCAGCAGCAGCCACCCTCTAATTTTCATTACTCTATTTTCTCCTGGTTCTCCCACTATCTGACTACTCTCTCCAGTCTCTGCTTTACTATAACCCAGAACACACTCTCAAATACTGGTATGCCCCCACATTTTGTCTAAGGTTCTCTTTTCTTTCTTGGGGATCTCATCAGCTCTTATGGGTTTGGTTACTAGGCAGATGATTCAAAGATCTATATATTGAGGCTCTTCCCAAGCTTCAGGCCTCCCCTTACTGACTTCCCATTGGATATTTCAAACTGCATATACCAGAGACATCTCAAATTCAGCACGTCCAAACAGAACTCATTCCATTTTCTCCCAAACCCACCCCTCTTCCAAACATCCTCATTTCCGATAAAGAAACTAGATTCTTCAGTCTCCCAGTTTCATAACCTCAGCGTTATCCTCTCACTCTCCCTCACCCCAAATTTCCAATCATTTGCCAAACACTGCAACTACCTCCATTAACAACTCCCACGTCTGACCCCTTCTCTCTACTCATACAACCAACCACTTTAGTGGTCCTCATTATCTCTGGCCTAGACTATTGCAACAACCTTCTAATTGGTCTTCCTGACTCAAGTCTATCCTCCACACAACTGCCAAAGTAATTTACTTTAAGTACAGATCCCCATGTGGCTTTTCTACTCAACAAATTTCAGTGACTCTCTAGTCCCTCTAAGATCAAATAGAAACTCCTATGTTTAGCTTTCAAAGTCTTTCACAACCTGGTGCCAATCTGTCTTTCTAACCCTATTATATATACATCCCCCTCCCATGCTCTGCAATCCAGCTAACTTGGCTTCTCTGTTTCTCACACACAGAACTATATCTCCTATCTCTATGCCTTTGCACTAACCATTCCCCATGCCTGGAATGCACTCCTTCCTCATTTCTTTCTCACAGAATTACATCTTTCGAGACACTTTCAAGCACTACTTTCTAACATCAAGTCTCTCCTTATCTCCTCAACAACTCCTCTCTCTCTCTTTCTCTATGATGTATTTAACAGTGTTATATTTATTCTCTATATATTTAATTTGTATAATCTACACACACACACACCCCTCCTCTGTTAGAATTTAAGTTTCTTAAGAGTTGGGATTACTTCACTCTATTTGTATTCTCAGTGCCTATTACTGCCTGGCACATAGTAGGCAATTAATAAACACTAATAAAAACTATGTTTTGGAGTTCTGATATTAGGGATATAATTCAATTCTCATCAATCTGAACTGTTCTCCCCATTAGAATATTGGGTAAATCCTTCACTGGAATTCTGTCATATGGTCATTATTAAGAGTACCAAATCAAAACAATTAAGAAATGGGCTGAGAAATGCTAAAACTTCAGTTCTTAGTGACAGAATTGATTAAACAAACAAAAATGACAGTCTCAGTTTTGGAGAAAATTGCTTAGAAATCATTAAGGAGCCCACATAAATGTCACTGAAGAAAGAGGAGTTCTTTGAATCTTGACAGCATGTTCATTAATGGTTTACAATTTATCTACAATATATAACTAAAAATCGCACAAATACAAGCTAATTTGGTACAGAATCCAAAAGGTCTTCTCTCTATAACCTTGGTAAATCATCTATTCTGAAATGTAGTTAAATGCTGAAACTCAGATTTGCTGGCATCCTGAAATAAAGTATAGTCTCCTGGTTCTAAATAAGTCATGTAGCTAACTTCCACAAAATATAAAATTTCCTAACACACACACAGACTTTCCCAAAGAACCTCATTAATTTCAAGCACTAAAGAAAACAAGGGAATAAATATTCATAAAACACTAATTAACAATATGACTAATAAAATTACTGAAATCCACATAATAAACACATTAAGAGGGTCATGGTTTCACAGAACCCCTGCTATATTTTTAGGGTCCAAGTTACAAGATGATGTATAGATGAACTATACTGCAATAAAGTTCCTTTGATAATGAACAAATCTGCTGTATACTGAAGTCACTTTATAATGAATAGTGTTAAAGCAAGATTCCAGGTTATTTCTATTTTCAGAAGAGATATTATATCAAAATTTTTCCCTACTTAATGAACTAATACAATACTTTGCAGCCTGGCTTAAAAAAATACTACAACTTACTTTATATTGTTCATGCTCCAGCAAACTATATAGCATCAATAAAAATCTACTTCACAAAATCATAGAATTTGGAGTTAGAAATAACCTAGAAGATTACTAGCCTAATGCTTTCATTTTGTAAACAAGGATTTGGTGTTTTGTTTTTGTCAAGTGGGGAGAATAAATTAAGAATATGTATATTTTTGGTTAAGGGTTTACTCAAATATAAAACAGAATAGTATAATAACACAGTAAAAATAATTTGGGCCTTCTCCTCCTTAAGTATGTTACAACTTTGACTAAAATGTTTCCTTAAATCACTTTAACTAAAATGTTTCCCTAAATCTTCCTTTCAATCAGGATCAATATGTCATAGATTAAGAGCTGGAAGATCATCAAGTCCAATCATCTCATTTTATAGCTAAGTAAAATGAGGCCCAATACTAGGTGCTTTGCCCAAGGTTACACAGGGTAAAAGCAAGTCTTCAAAACCAGGCCTTTTGACTCCAAACTAAGCTTTTTTAATGTAATGGAGTCTACCTACTCGCATCACCATTTAGTATATCCTTCTCTACTGTTTGTTATGTATAGTCTAGTTTAGACTGTCAGAAATAATTGTCTCATGTCTCCTGCATGATCTTTGTATTACTGAAAACAGCATTAGCTAAAGTAAATTGTGTTTTAGGAAATGGATCAGGGTTTGTATAGAAAATTACCAATATCGCACAAAAGGTCAGCATGCACTATTAAAAGCATGGAGAAAATTCCACTACAAAATTGATTTTATACATATATACATATATACATATATATATATGTATAGCCTCTTATTTTAAAAAAAACTGAATTTTTTTTTGCTTAGAATCTAAATATAAAAGTAAGGCACCACAAATTGGGACGTTAAAAACATTCTATATGACAAGAGAAATAAAGGCTTTTGGCTTTTTAATTCAAAAGTATTACAAAATCATGCAAATTAATTAGAAACTTTAATTTTCTGTATTGTCATAGATATGTAAGTTTGAATGTTAAAATAATCTGAATGTACACTTTTATTTTTTAAAAAATCTCTGTCAAAACATTTTAGAAATT